TTTTACTATCATACACCTTTAAGCTCGTCTCATTATCTCATGTCACTTTATCGGTTTAGAATTTCTCAAAGTCTATTTAAAATTCGTGAAATTAAACACACAAAAATCTATTAGGTTTGGATTTGGTGTTTTCTTAGATTTAAGGAGTTTGAAGTGTTTATTTGAAAATCCAAGCGATGATAAGCATTCTTTCAAGAAACTAACAAGTACCTCGAAACTAGTTTCGTTAGACGACCTTTGAAGGGGATCAAAGGATTAGTTTAGAACGTCGAACCTTTAAATAAATTTTCGTCAATTTTGAGTTACTTTTACGATAAACCAATGAGTAAACTAAGAATAGTTTGGTTTCATTCTTGCTGCGAATTGCGACCGGTGATAGTCAACGATTGGCAAACAATGATGGCCGAAATAGTTGACAATTTTATACAGGGACCAAATTGATATACAAACTAGAGATATTGCCTAAAACTAAAACATTTCAAAATTTAGTAACAAAATCAATACATAAACTAAAATTTATGGGGGAAGAAACAGTCATAATATTATGTTGTTAACAACTCTTTGTTCTAATTGAATTCAAGATTAGAATTTAATGTTAAGATTTAAACATTTTAAAATTTAATGACAAAATCAATACACAATTTAATGATAACTCAATGTTCATAGTTTACGCATTCAATACTTAAACTATCAGTTTTGGTCCATTTTAGTGCTTAATCAATTTTTTAAAATCATACCTAACGATTAGTTTTTATTTTATTTTATTACCCGACGTTAAAAAGTTAACGCGTTTAATATCCAAACTATCAATTTTGATCCGTTTTAATATTCAAACTTTCATTTTTTTTTCAAAACTTAATGTTTAAATACTAAAATGGATCAAAATTACAAGCGCTTAATTTACCCTAATTTAATTAAGGTTTAGATTAGGCTGAGAGACAAATGTAATAATAAGCTTCGTTGCTCTGGAAGCGAGGAGACCCGCTCGTGCAGACAAGCCACTCACGCTCTCTCTGAATCAATTAATTTGATGTTTAGGGTTCATAAACTGAACTTGATCAACTAAATTACAAATTTTTTTAATCACTTCAAGCCCCCCTGAGACCAAGAAATGTCGTCAAAGAAGAAGAAAAACCTCAATTTAACCTCTAAAAAAGTGAATTCTTCACATTTCCCAAAACCCCATAAGACCCCACAAATGCTTCATTTGTTGTATATATATACCCTCCATAACCGTGCTTCATTTTCACCATTGAAACACCACTACACAGTTTATAGTTTCTACCATGGGAAGTGAAAAGGTAGGGGAGACCGTGATTGTTGGGAGTTACGTTGAGATGAAACCAGAAGGGAAGTCTAATGGCATGAAGAGCAAATTCTCTAAGCTCTTCTGGCATGGCGGTTCGGTGTATGACGCCTGGTTCAGCTGTGCTTCTAATCAGGTGTTCTTTTCACATCTACTCCTTTCTTTTCTTGTTTCAGTTCTGATATAGATTCTACTAGAAAAATGCGATAAATCAGAAACTTTGAGCGATATTTTCTATAGGTAAAGGTGGATATTCGAACGATGAATTTAACGGATTCAGTAATTTCTTGTTGCAGGTGGCTCAAGTGTTGCTTACATTGCCCTACTCGTTTTCTCAGCTCGGAATGCTTTCCGGGATTCTCCTTCAGCTCTTCTATGGATTGTTGGCAGCTGGACGGCTTATATCATCAGCATACTCTATGTGGAATATAGAACAAGGAAGAGAGAGAGAAAGTTGATTTCAGAAACCATGTCATTCAGGTATATTCAGAAAAACAAAAATCAAATCTTGGTTGGTTTGATCTTAAGTTTCAACCTTTCTTGTCAGTGGTTTGAGGTGCTGGATGGTCTCCTTGGGAAGCACTGGAGAAACGTGGGTTTAGCATTTAACTGCACTTTCCTCCTCTTTGGATCCGTCATTCAACTCATAGCTTGTGCAAGGTATGAACTCGGCTCTGTGTAGATTTTTGGAATAGTATTGAAGCATGCAAAGCCGACAATGAAATTCCCCTTGTTTTGTTGCAGCAATATTTATTACATAATGACAATCTGGACAAGAGGACATGGACTTACATCTTTGGGGCATGTTGTGCCACCACTGTCTTTATTCCTTCATTTCACAATTACAGAGTCTGGTCTTTCTTGGCCTCCTGATGACCACTTACACTGCTTGGTATCTCACCGTTGCCTCACTCCTCCATGGCCAGGTAACAACAAAAAGAGACTCATTTTCTCCGGTCAAATCCACGCCAAGTTCCTTAATTTATGGGGTTAAAATGTATTATAGATTGAAGGGGTTCGACATTCTGGTCCGACCAAGCTGGTTCTGTATTTCACTGGGGCCACAAAATTCTCTATACATTTGGGGGACATGCTGTCACTGTGTAAGACAACATTTATGTGTCGTTTACGTTATCTACAAATCTGCAATTCAATATTATATTGTGTTGATGCATATGAACACATTTCTGAAAAGGACCAGAGCTTGGCCCTTTCTAAACATGATCTGATCATTGGTGACCAATCAATGGGGTTGAAGGATGTTTTTTAAGGATGAAAACCCAGAATTAATCAGCTTAGGACAGAGCTTTTTACAGGCTTTAATCTAGGCTTTAATTGGTATTCAATGATGAATTATGCAGAGAGATTATGCATGCGATGTGGAAGCCACAGAAGTTTAAAGCTATATACATGATGGCCACAGTTTATGTGACGACATTGACACTTCCTTCGGCGGCGGCCGTTTATTGGGCTTTCGGAGACATGCTTCTCGATCACTCAAACGCTTTCTCGCTTCTCCCGAGATCTCCCTTCAGAGACATGGCTGTCATTTTAATGCTCATCCACCAGGCATGCTATGAATCCCTTCTATGATGTCTCATCGCCCTGATCGGTCTGTCGGACCGTGTCGTGGTCGGGCGGGTTGAATCGGTTCACTGCTTTATATGTTGATGTGTTCGTTTTTGTGATGTGTTGCAGTTTATAACGTTTGGATTTGCATGCACTCCACTGTACTTTGTATGGGAGAAAGCAATTGGGATGCATGAGTGCAAGAGCTTATGCAAGAGAGCTGCGGCGAGGTTGCCGGTGGTGATTCCGATTTGGTTTTTGGCTATCATTTTCCCGTTCTTCGGACCGATCAACTCCACTGTCGGATCCCTCCTCGTTAGCTTCACTGTCTACATCATCCCTGCACTTGCCCACATTTTCACCTTTAGATCAGCCGCTGCCCGCGAGGTACTAAAACATCCCATGTCGATCACGTTTGAGTCTTGTTGAATGAAAAAAAAAACAGTACTAATGTGTACCCTTGTGATTTCGAGTTAATGGTACCTGGTTCCCTATGTACTCTAACATTGATGTCTGATGAACGGCTGTGATGCAGAATGCGGTGGACCAACCGCCCAAGTACTTCGGAAGATGGGTGGGGACTTTCACGATAAACGCTTTCATCGTGGTGTGGGTCCTGATCGTCGGATTCGGATTCGGTGGATGGGCGAGCATGATCAATTTCATAGACCAGATCGACACGTTCGGGTTCTTCACAAAGTGTTACCAATGTCCAGCACCAGCACCAGCATGGCAGCGTCTTCACCACCACCGTCTCGCGGCCTCAATGCCACACCGCCTGCTCCTCTACACCACCACCCATTCAACCACACTCGTCACCCCTGATTTACGCCACGGCCGGATCGAATACATCGTTTGTCACGGTTGCACCTTTGTTTAATCTCTGTTACTTTAGGAGTGCCACAGGAGACTAAATTAGTTGGCTAGTAAAATTAAATTGTTGTAAACACACAATGCCATCCAATTTGAGTATTTCCCAAATTTAGCTTAAAGAGTTTGTAATGCATTTCCCAAGATAGCAAAAAAATTAATTTAAGGACCAATTTTAAATAAAAGTTGTAGTGTAAGGATCTCTTAGTAATTAAATCGATTAAAAAATTAGGGTAAATTATGTATTTGGTAACTCGCTGTTCTGTTTCGATTAATCAACTAACATTTATTTATTTATTTATTTTTAAACAAATATTAGTATGTACTTCCCTCATATTATTAAAAAAATATTTATTTTTTAAATCATACTTAACGTTTAAATTTGTAGAATTAGGCCTATTTTTTAGAATCGGTATCTTTGAATTTTGCATCAATTGGACACATTTCAAGCCCTCCTCCAAAGTTTAAAAATCAGTCCAATCGAATTAAAAAAATTGAATTAATCGAATATTTGTATTCTTATTATTTAAAATTTATTTTTTCTTTAAAATTGAATTAAGTTTAAAAATTTGAGTCAAGATAAAATTAAATATATTTATAAGAATTAAATTATAAAAATTAAACTAAAATTTTATTGGTAATCTAAATATATTTTATATTTTATTCACACTATCTCAAATTAAGATTTTATTTATTTATGATCTTTGTCGAGTTTATTAAATGATTTAAAGAATTTCCTAAAATGTACGAAATACCAAGTTTCCGATTGAAAAATTCTACAACGTTTGACGAGTAATATGAACATTTAGTTTATAAAAATTTAAATTTTTAAAATAATCAACGTATAATTATAAATTAGTTAAAAGTTTAAAGATAAATTATTTAAAATAAATATTAATTATATTTTTATAATATTTTTAAATAATAAAAATATTTTTATAAATATTTAATAACATAAATATTTTTAAATATATTTAAAATTAAAAAAAATTCTCTGAATATTTTTAAAAAAAGAATTCTCTTTCAGTTGATAAAATTTATTAGATGTTCAATTGATCATTTACATTTAGAAAGATTATTTAAAATAATACTGATGATGTCTCTTTCAATTTTGGATAAAATTTATACTTAGTACTTAAAGTATCAGATTTGATCTATTTTGATACCTAAACTTTTAATCTATAACTTTTTGTTTGGAGATGTGAGAATAGATTGTAAAATTCCATGGACGAAGAGAGTAGTTTGCAAGAAGAAGATATCATCAAATTCATCATAAACATAACCCTTCAACCCTGGCGTGTGTGAGGCCGACGCAGGCATCGACGAAATCTGCGTCGATGAAATCCGTGGAGAAAACCTGCAACCGATCGGCGCAACCCTTCGCAAAGCACTGAGTAATGAACATCCTAGCATATCCATGTATCCGTGTGGTCACCGGTCTGACGCATACCACGGGGTTATCCGGCTGCGGCGTCACCGTGTTCTCCACCCTGTAAAAGAATTTCCTCGATGTCACCGGCTGTTGCTCGCTCAAGTGCTTCAGGTTGCTGTCGAACTTGGTCGACGGCAAGTCCGTGTCGATCCAGTTGTCTTTGAGATGAGTGGCGTTCCAGAACGCCGACCCCGGGTCCGGACGAGGGGCCTTTCGTGGTTTCCACACACAGATGATCCTCTTCGGCAATAATTCGGCTATCGTTTTCTCGAACACGTGATCGTCCTGGTGAATCAAGAACTCGCCGAGGTTTTCCTGTAAGTACCGTTCGAAATCCGGCGGATCCTGGTGGCCGAACTCGGTCCTGATCTCGAGGATAATGATCTCAGACTCGGTCTCGGACAAGAACTTCTTGATGTCGTTGATGACGACATCGACGTTGTACGTTGTCAGGATCCCATGGCAGACCAGACGGTTCTCGTTGACACGAATGTCCAGCACCCTGTTCCCCATAACAAGCTGTTCGTAGATGGATAAGGATTGACATTGAGCGAATGGCCGTGTGATGAACGGGATCCCGATCTTGTTGGTGGCGGAATCGTGAGTTCCCGGCCATACAATCTTGTTTACGTGAACTTTTTCAGGTCCAAGACCGGCCATCCATTTCTTCCGATTGGCCGGACAATACTCGCTTCCGGGGAACGTCTCGCCGGAACTAGCGTGAAGCTCGCAAAGGGTCTTCTTCTCCGTCTTGATTGCCTTTCTCCTTTGCACCTGTTTAGACAACATAGACCCCATTTTATTTTATCAAACAAACAAAGTAGAATAAGAAGGAAGAAGAAGAAGAAGAAGGAAGCTTCTTCTTCTTCTGTTTCGACCTGTGAATTAAAAAGGGTTCCTTTATGGGGTCGAATATATAGCATTATAACGTCTCAGTAATGCTTTATGCTCTACGTGACAGAATCAAACTTGGCCTAGTGGGATTTGCTTTGATTTTGATTGAATTACCGGATTTGGTTTTCTTATTTTACTTTAATCGATTACATCCCTACGATTCTTACAAGTGTCTGGTTCTCCAACATTGTATACAATTTTGGTTGTGTTTTGGACTTTTATGATAAATCCATGAGTTAAATTCGGGTTCTGTTGGACAAAAAAAGTACACTTGGCAACACAAAATTCCGATTCCTTCTGTCCAATAATTATTTGGAAAGGGCGGTTTTAAGAAAATGAATGTAATTGAGGGACTGAAACCACAATTAAACCTTGTTAATGGTTTGATATTTACACAAAATGCTTGCTAAGCTTAAGCTTTAGCAATTCAGTATCTTGTTGAGTTCTCAAATATATAAGGTTTTCAAGTTATGGCATCTAATTTAGAATTTAGTTATATTACAAAGTTTTAATTTGAGCTATTTATTTTTTAAAATTTAACACATTATTCGTTCCGAAAGATTTGACTTGAAATAATAAAATATAATTTGTCAAATTCGGGTAACTCAAAATTTATTCACTCGATTCGACCAAACGATCATCCCTAATCCTACAATGATAAGAAACCAATTCAGCTTGTTTGATACAATGTCAGGGAATGTGAGCAAGAAATGACCCAAAAAAAAACAGATACATACAAAGATCTAAAAGGCAGAATGGAAGAGCTTGATCCAGTTAGTCTCGGCATTTCATAAAGATTTAACTTTGCCTGAACATACTTGGTTGATCAGAGCTCATCCTGAAATAGAATTGGGTAAACTATGGACACATCAAACGAAATCAGTTGTGTGCGTGCTATAATGGAGCATGAAGAAAGATGATTACACATCAAAAATCACCAATTTTTATTCAATGAACACTTGGATGAAAAAATTGCCTACAAGGAAGCATGAAAAATCCATCATTTTGAACGAAAACTCAGATTATAAATGAAATTTGGAAGATTCAACTCCACGGAATCGACTTGCCTTGAGAAGAAAAAATGGTACAACACTAGATGCAGGCCTCCAACAGAATAACTCAGCAAAGATGGAACTAGCTAACTTCTACTTTCAAACTCGTCCAACGAGACAGCTTCATCCATCTGACCGGCTAACTGATCCAGGGTCGAGTATATTGCTCCTTTCAAAGGGTGCAAGCTATCTGATACGGTGAAAGAATGTACTTTACTTTCATGTTCTATCCAGCTAAGAGCTACCTCTTTCTGGACTTGTCTCTTATTCATAAGGTGTCTCACTTTCTCGACCGATTCCCACTTCCTTAGCGCACTGTATATACTTGAAAGCAATACATATGCTGCAGAAGACTGAGGCTGTAACTCAATAAGTTGTTCGGCTGCTTTTCGCCCCAGTTCTATATTCCCATGGATTCTAGAAACACCAAGTAATGCGTTCCAAACATGGCAATCAGGCTTACAAGGCATCTTCTCTAGATGGTTCATCAATAAGTCAAAACGACCGGCTCGACCCAAGAGATCAATCAAGCATGCATAATGCTGTTGATCTGGAATTATGCCATGGTCAGAAAACATGGATTCAAAAAACCTAAGTCCTTCCTCAACAAGACCAGAGTGGCTACATGCATTGACAATGACAACAAAAGTGGTCCTATCTGGCTTCATCCCTTGTTTTATCATGTCACCAAACATTCTAATTGCCTCTTCACCTTGTCCGTGCTGTGCCAACGCGGAAATCATTGTGTTCCACAATACGGGATCCTGCTTGTCACTTGTAAGATAAAAAATATGTTTGCCAACTTTAAGATTGCCGCATTTTGAATACATGTCGATGAGGGAACTGATGACTATCATGTTTGGCCTGAAACTAGTTCGTATCAAACAGGCGTGTATTTGTTTACCATGTGTAAGCGAAGCTACACTAGCACAAGCGCAAAGGCAACTACTAAAGGTAAACTGATCAGGTCTAACTCGAGATACCATCATCCTTGTAAACAATTCAAGTGCCTCATTCCCCATATCATTTCGAACATAACCCGAGATCAAAGCTGTCCAAGAAACCGGGTTTTTCTCAGGCATTCGATCAAACAAATCATTAGCTGATTCCATATCTCCCCATTGAGCATACCCCGACACCAAACTAGTCCAAGCAAGAACATCTCTCACTTTCATCTCATCGAACACCTTCTTAGCCTCCCCTAACATCCCACATTTCACATAACCATCAACGAGAGAGCTCGAAATCACCAAATTTGACAAAAAACCAGCAACAAAAACCTGGCCATGAACCTGCCTGGTAAGTTGCAATTCCCTCGACTTAACACAAACAGTCAAAACACCAGCAAAACTGAATTCATTGTATCCGATACACAAATTCCTCAACTCCTTATAAAATCTCAGCGCCTCCTCAAATGCCCGCCTTTTGCATAAGCAATAACCATCGTGTTCCACGAAACGACGTCTCTCGTGCATTTGATCGAACAACTGCCTAGCAGGCTTTATCATGCCCAATTTAGCATACCCGGATAGCATATTGTTAAAAGAATATAAATTTCTAGTACCCATTTTATCGAACACTTTGCGAGCACCAATATAATCGCCGCAACTAGAATACATATAGATAAAATGATTGGATAAAAAGTGCCGGGCTTTCTGAGTCCGGTTAGTTTCAAATGAAGGTGTAGGAATTTGCCTTCTCTGAGACTTGGTTTCCGCGCATTTTCGCAAGAGAGAAGCAAGAGTTTTCAAAGGTAAGCGAACGCCCTTTCTTGTTAAGAGCTCGAGATAAAAGATTGCTTGAGACAGGTGGGCTCTTGAAGTGATATTGAGAAAGGGTTTCACAAGACAAGGGTTCTTTTTGAAGAAGCGGCCACTGCGATTAGAACGAAGTGGGGGAGAAAGTGAGGGCATTTGAAAAGGGGGAAAATGGGTCTTTCGTTCTTCATGTCAGCTTTAGCTCCGACGACCCATTGCATTGCCGGCTGCGGTGAGTGGCTTTGGTTGCTAGTTTGATGGGCCATATTTGAGGGGTCTGGGTCCATTTCGAGATCCTGTTTCTTAGCAAGAAAAGATATTGTCTAACCAAACCCAAATTTATATAAGGGTTGCTGGTTTGATGGGCCATATTTCGAGACCCTGTTTCTTAGCGAGAAAAGATATTGTCGGGTTTTTTTCTCAATAGAGCAAACGGTTTTATTAATTAATCCAATAGTGTAATAGAAGTTTATTTTGAGATCTACGGTATTATTATAGTATTAAAAACTCGTTACATCGAGGTGATGAATTTTCTTAAATAATATTTTTTTATTCAAACTCGTAATGTTAACGTGACGAGTTTCAATAAATATATTTTTTAATTAAATTTTATCACCTCGAAGAAATTTAAAAAAATATTTTTATTAAAATTTATCACATCGATGTTACAAGTTTTAAATCACTATAATAAATATCGTAGATCTCAAAATAAATTTTTATATATCCTGTTAAACTAATTAATAAAATTGTTTGTCCTATTGGAAAAAAACCCCGATATTGTCTAACCAAACCCAAATTCATCTAACGGTTAACTGAAGTTCATTTTAAATTTTTGGAAGGTTTAAATATGATTTTATTATGGTTTAAACTTATGATTATTAAATTTTTATAGTGTATTTACTGATAGGTATGTGATTAAAATTTGACGGATTTTGATTCGATTCATTTTTATAAGAACGATTTTTTTTAAAAAGGTTTGTGTTTAGATTTTTTTTGAAGATAAGATCGAACTAATTTCGAGTTTAGCAAAAATATTTGATTCAACTCATAATAGTATAATTATTTTTATATATTTAAAAAATATATAATATATCTTTTTTATTTGTAAAATTAGATCCATATTTTACCTAAAATTTAAAATTTATATATATTTATATCGAGTCAAATTAAATATAAAATTTTAATTAAAAAATAAATTTTAATTAATTAATCTGACATTAGTGATTGATGGATTTTTTTTTTATCTTTTAAATTATTGTGTTTAAATATTTCATTAAAAGTATGAGTTTATTGTGAAATGTTTGAGAATAAATTTTTACCGATACATATCCTTGAGCCAGGCGGAAAAATCTTGTTCTGCCGCCGACCGATATTTCCCGAACTGGATTCGAAGCCAATTTCTCCCCCAAAATGTTCATGGAGCTGCTACCATTGTACATCCCATCAATGAAGCAAAAGCTTATGGCCATCACCAGGCCAACTCAGCCTTTCCTGTCGAGTCGTAAACTTCCTGTGCTCGCCGAGCAGCTTCGATTTAGGGCCTGGGGTCTCGGTCAACGGAACATTCGCCATTAACAAGGCTCCGTGGCGGGTTGGAGACATTTTGTGTCGGCGGATTGAGCCACCTTGATGTCGCTTGGGTTTTGGCCGCTGATTATGTCGTGGAAATAGAATTGGAGTTTGGTTTTTGTCTATTGTAGGAATTTAAATATTTACAAAGTGGTAATGGTGTCTTTCGAGACCATTATTAAATGATTACAAATATAACGAATGATATTACGGTGATTGTGAGTATCGTAATCATTTAATAATGATCCCAAAAGACACCATTACCACTGTATAAGAGACACTATCACAATCACAAATCGCTATTTACATTCTTTGTTGTTGCCCTAGTCACCTAATTCTTTGCTATGGTCAATTGGTCATCCACAGTGCTAAAAAACTATAATATTAAACACGTAAATCTTTAATTGATTCAAATATATTTTTTAAAACACTTCGGCCAACACTTTCTAAAATAATATTAAATTAAGTTTTAATCTTTTTCTATGCATTTGTGAATTGAATTTGAATAGTGTTGATGAAACAAAATAATCTCAACTCTTAATGATTTATTTATTTTTAATTTGAACAAATAATTATTGTTGATGATGAAACAA